CACTATTGCTGAGTGGGTTCCTAAGAGTTTCCAACATGTCACATCAAAAAACAGGTATAATCCAGATGTTTATGTGCTGCTTTTTTTATTTGAGATTAACTATTAAATATCTATTTTAAATGTGATGTCTATTTGGATGCTCATTGTCAGTAAGCAGAGAGATAATGCCTGCTTGAGGAGAGGTCAGATGGGGGGGTTTATAAAATGAATTTTGCATAATCTATGAATGATTTGCTCTAAGATGCTGGTTATTGTGGTTTATATAAACATGTGAATAAAAAATGACTAGATGAATACAGAAACTTGAACTTTTTATATTTTTATGAATTAATCTTTTTCCAATCTTTATTATTTCAATCAAAAGTTCTTCCTACAGTGTCTCTCCTCCAGAAGACCCCCTCCTCTCCAGTGAGCTGTCATGCTACAGGTTTCTACCCAGAGAGCGCTGTGATGTTCTGGAGGAGGAGTGAAGAGGAGATTCATGAAGGTGTAGAACATGGAGAGATCCTCCCAAACCATGATGGAACATTCCAGATGAAGGTTGATTTGAATGTCTCATTATTTCGACTCGAAGATTGGGAGAAATATGACTGTGTCTTTCAGCTCTATGACATCAGCAATGACATTATAACCCCCCTGGATAAGACAATAATCAAGACCAATCAGCGTAAGCAGGGAATAAGAACATGTCTCGTTTTTTCAAGTAACATTTTTTATTACTCCAAGATTGTTTCCAGATAGAAATTTGTAAACAACTCATTCAAATACAGTCTTTCTTTTAAGCCTAAAATGTAAAGTAAACTAAAGTAGAATGGAAAATAAATAAAGGCTTTTATTAAGTGTTCAGGAGCGTCGCAACAGAGACTAGATTTATTGTGAACATGCTTTGCTTATCTTGCTTATGTTTAACAAATTTTTCATCAAGCTGCAACAAAAATAACTAATAAAAGATAAAAACATTGTTCTAAAGGTAACTAGAATATCTGTTAGAATCTTAGCTAAAACTAAGAAATATAATATAGTTACTCATCTTTGCCACCCAATTTTTAATTCTTCTTTTTATTAATGTAAGTTATAGTATTTTTATTTTTTTTACAGAAGAGACCATCAACGTTGCTGTCCCTATCGCTGCTTCATTGGTGTTTGTTGTTCTCATCATCATGGCAGTCAGTGCATTTGTCACTTTCAGATATAAAGGTAAGGAAAGACAATTTCACAAGAGGAAAATTAAAAGCTTTTTAAAAGTGAACTTTCTGTTCGCATTTTCTCAGTTTGGTCACGTACAGTTACCTGCTGTAGGAGTGTCTTTACTTGTCTAAAACTTGTGTTGCAACCTCAGCATTGTGTTTCCAACCCTAAAGATTCTTACAACAACACAGAGCTGCTGGAGGGCCTGAATCAAGAAACTTGATGTATAACTAGGGTTTCGTCTCCAAGAAATATTTATATTAAATATTCTTTCAGCAAGACTGTGAGTGTAAAGGTCATCTCTGCGGGCTGCAGATTTAATCTCTACATGAACCAGTAAAGTATCTGGGAAAAAAAAAACCAAGATATATTGTTAGGAAATCTCCAGTGTAAAGGAGAACAGATATTTAGCTATTGAGCTAAATACTTGTTAAATCATAGTTAAGTAAAATGATTAGTAACTTATTAACAGCTGACAAAAGTATTACATTTTTTGATCTGCATGAGATACATTTTAATTTGGATTTTTTTTTTTTATTGAATGACATCAGCCCTAATTTCATTTAAAGTATCAAACAGATGAGCATTTTACCTCTCATAAACTCCCCTCATAAACATATATTCTTCCACATGCAGACATACATTCTACACTCATACGCATATATTTTTCTCACATATATAGATTCTGCTTTCTTATATAGGCAAAAATTTTTCCTCTCCCATGCATAGTTTCTACTCTCACATACACATCAATATATTTTCATTTGATATCCATATATTCTCTCATACACATACATTCATCTTTCAAATACATTTATATAGTAATTTAAATATGTGTTTGAAAGGAGAAGATACGTGTGAGAAAATAGACTGTATGCATGCAAGTGAAATGTATAAGGTGAGAGGAGAATATGGACCGGGAAAAGAATGTATACCTGTGAGAGCAAAATATATTGATGTGACGAAAGAATGTATGCATGAGAAAGGAAAATTTATACATAAGAGAGGAGAATGTGTAGTATGCATGTAAAAAGAGAATTAACGTATATGTATATATAGGTAGATATGTATATATCTATATACATATCTACCTATATATAGAGATATCTCTCTCTCTCTCTCTCTCTCTATCTCCATATATATATATATATATATATATATATATATATATATATATATATATATATATATATATATATATATATATATATATATATATGTATATATATATGATTTCAGAAATGGGGGGGTTGCAAGTATTTTTATAATAAATATAAGTTTTGTAGTAGATCTGTGTTTGTTTCCTCCACTTTTTCTTGCATCTCTGCTGTCCCTCTCCTGACAAAATATTTGGGTGCATGACGTGTACAACCACGCAATTTGGGGTTTAACAATCCATTTAGATTAAAAAAACCTAATTTTATAATTATTATGAGCTTGAATATATAAAATCCCTTTCATAGATATTTTTTCTTCAGTTTTTCATGAAAATAATATTTAACAATAATGCATTCGATTTATCAGCACTTTTATTAAAATAAATGTACAAGCTTATTGAATGTTTTATACTGCAGTGGATGATCTTGAAGTGAATATGCTATTTTATGGAGCCAGTGAATGTGTGTTAAGAGTGGTTTAACACAGTTCTTTGAATCAGTGTTTTTCAACCTTTTTTTACTTTTGTACCCCTTTGGGCATTTTTTTTGTACCACGAGTAACCCTCTCGGTCAAAAGTATTTGATAATTGTCCAAAAGTGGAATGTACAATAACTAATTATAAAATACAGACTATTTTACTTAAAGGTACACTGTGTAGCTTTGGCCACTAGACCTACACCTATAACAGCCTGTATTTTGCTTCAATTGAACATCTGTCATGGTCCAGCAAGGAATCAAAATCAATACAAAATAAAATCATATTATAAACCTCTATTTGTAAATGTAAATCCTTTATTGTCCAACAATGGTGAAATTTACTCTTTAACAAATCACCTTGGGAGCAGTGGGCTGCCATTTTGCGGCGCCCGGGGAGCAGTCTGGGGTTAAGGGTCCTGCTCAGGGACCCAGACTGGAAGTCTTTGGGAGTGTCTGGAACTTGAATCCAGAACATCCGGGAGCCAAGTGCATTGCTCTAACCACTAGCCCACCACTCCTGTATAAAATATAGGAATTATAATCAGACTGACTTAAATGGTTTTCTTTTGTTTTCATCAAGACACCTGAGCTTGCTCTGATGAGATCTGATAGCTCAGGGTGAAAAATGGCTGATACCGGGTTACTCTCTACATCCAGTCTGTTCTTCTGCTTGGTTTCAATGTGTGAAAGCTGAAGGTGAACTCAAACATAGAAGAAAAAAATACTTTTTGTTTGATTAATTTTTATGTACCCCTTGAAGTGTACTTGCGGACCACTAGGGGTACGCATACCCGCAGTTGGGAAACACTGTTTTGAATATAACTTACACTTCAACTTTTAAAGAGGTCTCTTATGTCTCTCTTTCTTTTTTCATACACCCAGGCTGCGAGTCTAACAACTGAACAAACAAACACACGCACTCACATGGCACCAATTCAAAGATTTGTGTAAATTATTACACATGATATTACAACCCTTCTAGATAATGTCACCCAAGGAGAAAAAATGCCTAATTTACAGACCAACAAGACCTTTCCTACAAGACCACAACTCTAGGACGGTTTAAGTTATCTGCCGCATGACAATTTGTAAAGTGAGGTTTCAGGAGTGACAGCAGTGACAGCCAATCACACATGAAAAGACTGAAGCCGGAGCTTGTGGACTAAACTCAGGGGAGCGGGCTTCAGGTTGTGCTGCAGTTTTCCACTTGGTCCTAGTGCTCGATGAATGTCAGTGTATTGTAGCGTCACATTGTTTTCAGACAGTAAAAAAAGAGGCCTGGGAACTTCAGGATCTTTACTGTTCCTAGAAATGCACTTTTAGGGACTGATATGCTGTAGCTACTCTTCTAGTACTCGTCTGTGGTGGCTAAAGCCCAACAGTGGTAATGTTTTTATTGCTTTCTTTCAATATTCAATTCATTTTGTAATTTCGTTTATTTTGCACTGCTGTTATGGTTAATGTTTTTTTATTGGTTTGGCCAAACCACCTGATATGTTACTCTCACATGTCACCTCATGTGTAATTCTGATTCTGATTCATGAAGCCCTTTGGCAGAATGCATCAGTGGAAAAGATGATTCTACTGTTTTGGTTCGGTGGAATGGAAGGCCTTAGGCTTGTTTTGGTTTTCTGCAGTCACTCCAATGCAAAAATAGGAGGCAATTTTGCAAGGGGGTTAATTTTATAACTCACGGTAGCCGAGACATCTCCTCTTTTTTAGACGTAGACAGATTTATTTTGTCATTTTGTATACACAAATGTAAACAAAAATAAATTTTGTTTAGAACAGCTCTCTAGACAATTTCATTTTTTTTAAATGCAGTCTTGATAAGGTAAGCAGCAATCCGCTCTTTGCACATAACGTCGTCACGACACTTCCGTGTTTGATAAAGCGGGTGGCCGGTTTCCGGTATATGCACTTATAGTGACAAGATGCCGGGAAACCTGAGCAAAGAGGTTTGACATGAGTCTTAAAAAGGACCGCTTTCATTTTAGCAAGCAACAGAAGCAATATCACGAACACTGTTGTGTGCCGCTGTGTTCGGCATCATCCAAATATAATGGAGTGTTGAGCTTTCACACGTTTCCCAGCGATTTAGAGCTGAGAAAGAGATGGCTAGTCAACATCCGCCGCGAACAGTTTGTCCCCACGCCCCATACGAAGGTCTGCAGCCTGCATTTCTTAAAGGAGCAAACAATTCCACCAAAAACAGAGTTAGGGAAAAGGCGATTACAGAAAGGAGCTGTCCCGGTATTGTTTAAGTGGAACAATTTTACGACTCCACCCCCGAGGTTGAGCGTTTGGGAGAGGGTGCAGGTAAACACGCCAGAGCCAACACCAGAGCCGTCAGATGAGGAGCAAGCAATGGACTGCACACACACACCTGATGATCATGACTACCCTAAAGCACCAGAAGCAGCATACCTGGATATGGCCCTCGACAGGATCAAGGAATTGGAAGAGAAAAACGAAGCCTTAGAAAAGCAATTTATGGAATTGAAGCTAAGCCATGCATTTGTGTTGGAAAGAGTCCTCCAATCTGACGCCAACATCGGACTCTACACAAGGTAAATAAATAGCCTATTAGTATAATATGAGTTTGTCATCAAATAGGAACCTTTTATAAACTAATACTTTTTCTTCTCTCCTTTTGCAGATTTCCAAATTATAGCGAGTTCATGCTTTTTTGGGAAATGATTGAACCATCTGTGCATAAAATGGTTCGTGCATCCAGAGCCAAAGCTGCTGAGAGGATGAATGAAGAACTAACATCTGTCCGTCCAGCACACATGGTAGGCAATTGTGTTGTTTATCTTATTATTGTTGACATTTGTTTAATAATTAGTTGCCCTTGAAATTAAAGCCATGTAATTATGGGAAACCAGTTGCATTGTGTATGTTTTCGCCCTCTACTGTTTATTTTTATTTCTTTGCACATTTGGTACACTTAATATTTTTAGATAACAAAAGATGTAAACATTAATTAAATGCATTACTTTTTCACACACACATGTAGGTTTTATGGCGTTACTCTCTTAACAAATGATATAATCATTGACAAACTGCATTTTATGTCTGCTTGGTTCATCTTTGTTTAATGTTTACATCTGTTTAGTGATCTAAAAATGTTAAGTGTGCCAAATGTGCAAATAAGTAAAAATCAGCCAGGGGACAAAAGCATACATATGGCACTGAATTTTAGTGCAGACACACTGTCAATTACTATTCATGCCAATTACATCCCTTTTGCTTTTAATGTGAATATTGTTTGTTTTCTTTCAGAGACAGTCATTGCAACCCATTGATGAATTCTTCCTATTCCTGATGTACCTGTCTGCTGGTTACACGGAGCTGGACTTGGCAAACAGATTCCTCATCTCCACCTCCACCGTAAGTCGCATTATCTGTTCCTGGACCAACTTCCTGTACACCCTCCTGGGCTCAGCGTCCATCTGGATGGAGGCTGAGGATGTGAAAGCTTACCTTCCTGATGACTTCAAGGACTTTTCTGACACGCAGATAATAGTGGACTGTACAGAGCTAAAATGCCAAACCCCATCCTCTCCTGTCATTCAAAGTGAGATGTACTCATCCTACAAATCTCACTGCACAATGAAAGCCCTTATTGGGATAGCCCCCCATGGCCCTATCACTTTCATCTCTTCTCTCTATGAGGGATCAATTAGTGATAAAGAGGTTGTTAGTAAATCAGGGTTATGTGACCTTCTGACAGAGGATGTGGCCATTATCGTCGATAAAGGCTTTCTAATTAATGACTTGGTGAAATGCA